ATAGGAAAGATAAAGAGCTTACTGTACTGCGTTATATAGGAGCGCAGCGCGGCGTCACGCTATTAACATGTGACGTGCCGGTCGGAGTTGTCACCAGATCTAGAGGAATATTCCAGTGTGGACAAATGTTACTGTGACAGTTCAGCACGGTTTTGAGCGTTTTTAATTGTGTTTCAGTGCTGAAACGCAACTAAAAACAGCCAAAAATGCTCTTTCAAAAATCGTGCGGAAACCACGGTGAAACGCTTCCGCCCTGGTGTCAATGGCGCCTGAATGAGGCCAAACACTTTACTTTAATACTGCCACACCAATGAGAGGCTGAGGAAAGGGAGTTATAAAAAAAAAATGAGGGAACGCTGAACTGTAAATAAGCGATTTATGTTATAAATGTTTTTTGCGCTGTGTTGGTGTTTGTGTTGTGATAACATGATACAGGCGTATATTTAATTACAACACAACGTATCACAACGCATTGTATAGTACTATGTGTCCCCAGTTATTTACAAACACTGGAGTGATCAATGTACTGCACATGGAGGATCGGTAAATATCAATGATACTTACCGATCCTCCACTCGGCCACGCACACAGCCTCTGTCATCCTGAAACTGACAGGAGGACAGCGGCTCCGCTCTCCTCCCCGTCTGCCGCTCTGGGCCCCGGGCCCCCCCAGTGCCCCGGGCCCCTTAGCGACCGCATCGGTCGCTATGGTGGTAGTTCCGCTATTGGTGACAACTAAGAGGAAAAAATAACATTTTAGAGATTTCTTCTACTATCCTGTTGCGTCTCCGGGACAGGAAGTAAAGTGAAATCTCCCCAGCAGGACATTAAAAATAAGCTTCCAACAGGATGAAGACCAGAGGCCGTAGGGGGAATGTCGCAGTGGTGCTGGGGGGATGACTCTGCATCATCTCCCTGCCCAACTCTTGCTCTGGCTTTGGGCAGTGACATCACTGGTTGCGAGGAACTGAGCGGTACGCTGGCCAGAGCATCCCACCCTGGAGCAGTGACGTCACTGGTTGCCAGGAGCTGAGCGGGACGCTGGCCAGAGCACCAGCCAGAGTGCCCCATGTTGCTAAGAGCTGGGCGGAGAAATGTGTATGGCCCTTACACATCTCCTCACCCAGCCCTTAGCAACCTGGGATGCTCTGGCTTGAAAGGGGGAGGCAAGCACACTGCAAACATGGCAGCCCTGCCTGCTGCCCCCCCACGTGACCCAACATGCCTCATTATGGGGACAGCCATGTTGTAGACTGCCACAGCCAGGACGGAGCCCGACATTACTGTCGAGATCCACCCAGCTGCGTGATTGACAGCTGGCTCTGCCAATCTAGAGGCAGAGCCAGCCGTACCCGCCCCCTCCCCGTTCTTTCCGCCAGTCAGCGCTGGAGGATCGGAGCAGGGAGGGGGGAATCCCTGCATGGAGCCGTGAGTGACAGTCACAGCTCCCTGCAGGGAGATGATCGAGAAGTGAGCGAGCGCCGGTTCCCGATCTATTGAGCCGACATGTGACAGTTTCATTGTCACACGTCGGCTCGACTATGAGGAGGAGTGATTTTCGCTCACCTCATAGTTCTCCTTTAACTTCTTATTACACCTTTGTTTACCCTCATCAGTTCAAATTAACTGCTTCTTCCTCTTCTTCCTCTAACTAGAATATTCCTATCGATTTTTTCTTTCTTTATTCTTTTTTTTATCTAGTCATTAATATTTAAGCTTTATTTCTTTATTCATTATTAACCCTTTGTTTACCCCCATCAGCTCTAATTAACTCCTTCTTCCCCTTTTTCCTTTAACAATAATATTCCTAAAGGGCCCTAAGGGGTTATTAAACCCTCTGTTTTTTTTTTTTGCATATATCTACTTCTACCAAGCAGTAGATGCAAAACCTTAAAAAAAACAAAAAACATTTGAAACAGGTTTAAACTTACCCCGCCTTCGCCGCGCGCTCCCGTCCGAAAACCTGAAAAATCGGGCGGCCGCAAAGCATTCTGGGTGCCGGCGCATGTGCAGATCAGATTTTCGGCCGGGAGACGAGGAGAGACGCAAGGTAAGTCTATGGACAGCGTGCACCCGCATGCAGACACCGTGGGACAGGAAGTGCCAGCAAGCACAGAGGAGTCAGCGCTGGATCAGTGAGCCGCAGCAGCGCTGGAGCGAAGGCTGAAAAGGACAGGAAAGAAGGAGAAGATCGGATTAAGAGACATCATTTAGGGTAAGTGCTAACAGTAACATTGGGGTGGAGGGAACTTAGACTTTAATGTCACTTTAACCACCTGCTGTCCGGCCGTCTTAATTAAATGGCCGGACAGCGACTTTAGACGTCCCATCCCGTCCCGCTCGTGCCCGCCGCTGGGGTGCAGGCACGAGCGGGATATCGCCTTTGAATGTAAACAGCCAGCGATGGCTGTTTACATACAAGCGTTCAGGCGTCTGTAGAGACACCCGATCGCTTGTAATATGCGTGCGGGTGTGCGCCCCCCTCCACCGCAGCCGCCGATCCCGAGCTCCACTGTGCCCGGTGTGAGCCCGGGACGGGCACAGCAGCTCTGCGGCCGGAGATCGAACGGAGCTCAGTACACGAGCTCCGTTTGGTCTCCTCCTCCATCGGAATGCAGGCTGTGATGTGTATTACATCACTGCCTGCATTCCTCTGTCACTCTCCGGTACAGAAACCTGAGAGAAGCTGGTGAAGCAGGTCTCTGCTTCATCAGCTTCTCTGAGGCTCAATTTTGAGTATGGTAGTTTTTTGTGATGTAGCAGGTGCGCACAATTTTAAAGCTTGACATGTTTGGTGTCTATTTACCCAACGTGACCCCGTCTTTTATATTTTATCAAAAAATTGGCTAATAATAAATGTTTTATAACATAACATAGGGAGAACAGGTTTTTTTTCAAAAGTTTCGATACTTTTTTCATTATATAGTAAAAAAAAACCCCGTAGTGGTGATTAAATACCACCAAAAGAAAGCTCTATCTGTCCCCAAAAAATGGTATAAAATTCATTTCAGTACAGCGTTGCATGACGGAATAAATGTCAATCAAAGTACCGCAGCGCTGAATACTGAAAAATGGCCTGGACAGGAAGGGGGGTATAAACACCCCGGTCAGCAAGGGGTTAAAGGAGAACTATGAGGGGGGTGCTTTTCACTCACCTCATAGTTCTAGCGGACCTGTGAAAATGAGACTGCCACAGGTCGGCTCAGTAGATCGGGAAGTGAGCGAACACATAACGGCGTTCGCTCACTTCTCGATCCTGTCACAGCTCTCCGCCCTATGACAGGGGAGGGGCTTGATTCCCCCCTCCCCGCTCCGATCCTCCAGCGCTGACTGGCAGAACGGACGGGGGAGGGGGCGGGTACAGCTGGCTCTGCCTCTAGATAGGCAGAGCCTGCTGTCACTCACGCAGCTGGGCGGATCCAGACATAATTGTCGGGATCCGCTTCCGTGATATTAAAGTCAAAAGATTTTTAAGCTATATCAATGGATGCCGCTCCTCAATGTTTCAAAGTTTTACTTTCCTGCAGAATCAGCTGGTGCCCTGAGCACTGATATCCTGTTTTAGGGTGGCTCCTTTCCCTTGCAGGCTCCAAGGGAGACACCCATGTGTGTGTTAGTAAGCTGTGTGTGTCCCACCACAAACACTCCCCTCCCCCTGCTCCCTGATCCCCACTTCTCTTTCCTCCCTCCCCTGTCCTCCCTTCTCCAAGTTAGTAGATGGACAGCTGCTGGAAACGGATGTGTCCCTTGTGATCTTGTACTGGACAGGAAGTCCAGGGAAGCTGAGCTGAGAGAGTTGGAGCTGTTTGGAAACATGATGGCTGTAAGTGTTTGGGCAAAAATATAAAGAAATACTTTGCTGGGCGATGTCTATTTGTTTGATCCGGATTTATTATTGAAAAAAAAGGTGGAGAATTTAATACTGCTTTAAATGGGACAAATAATGTCATGAAATGTATTCTTTTCTGCAACAGTAACAATATTTATTTTAAAGCTGACACTGATCAAAGTAGAAAAAAAAGTGCAATTTTTGTTTGAATTAATTAAAAGTAAAAACAAACTTAGAGAATTAATTAAAAATAACTTTTATTGTCGCGAGTCACAGAAGGAAAGCCCTAATTGTTCTAAAAACAAGATATTTGTATTCATTCAGGGGTGGCCAAATTAGTATGGAATTCAGGGGTCAGTCTGTCCAACCCCGGAACCAGCAGAATTGTTTTATTTAGGAGCTAGCTATGCCATTAAGATCTTCTCAGCATGTGATATACTTTTGATAATGTCACTTAGCATTGCTGCTGTTCTACGGTGAATTTTCCCCTTTTCTTGTCAATAATTCAATAAATACGGTATGATTGCTATCGGCTTATCGTCACAGCCAGGCAACAAGCATTTCCAGGAGACAAGTGAAAAGAAACATATGTATTACAGATATAAAATCCAGGGACATCTGAGGCACAACTACACTGGATTAGGGTTTAGAAGACGGTGATACATTGTAATCCCATCATACTGAATGTACTGAGCCGGATACAAATAATTACCAGTGAAAGAATATCTGCACACAGCTGCCCCTCCCTGATGTCTTCCTGATGTCTCCCTGATGTCTGATATATAGATCTGTACGATATATTACTAGAGGTATAGATCTGTTATGATCTGTGATATATGAATGCAGGGTGACTGGTTTTGTCTCCGCCCCTCCTGTAATAAAGACCGCTCACTGCTACTCTCCCTCCTTGTGCAGGGTGACTGGTTTTGTCTCCGCCCCCTCCTGTAATAAAGACCGCTCACTGCTACTCTCTCCTTGTGCAGGGTGACTGGTCTTATCGCTGCCCCCTCCTGTAATAAAGACCAGTTATTGCTGATCTCTCTCCTTGTGCAGCGTGACTGGTCTCCGCCCCCTCCTGTAATAAAGACATCGTTCGCGGATAGTCAAACGCAGAGGACACCAAATCCCCAAGACATGAGATACTGCTACTCTCTCTCCTTGTGCAGGGTATCAGCAGCCTTGCACCGCTCCAGGGCCTCCCGGACAGCTAAAACCGCTGTGAAGGTGCTCCTACCCTGGACCGAACAGTGCTGCTATCTCTCCTTGTGCAGGGTGACTGCTCTTATCTCCGCCCCCCTCCTGTAATAAAGACCAGTTACTGCTGATCTCTCTCATTGTGCAAGGTGACTGGTCCTGTGTCCGTCCCCTCCTGTAATAAAGACCGCTCACTGCTCCTCTCCCTCCTTGTGCAGGGTGACTGGTCTTATCTCCGCCCCCCTCCTGTAATATAGACCTGTTACTGCTGATCTCTCTCCTTGTGCAGGGTGACTGGTCTCGTCTCCGCCCTCCTGTAATAAAGAGCACTCACTGCTACTCTCTCTCCTTCTGCAGGGTAACTGATCTTGTCTCTGCCTCTCCTGTAATAAAGACCGCTCACTGCTGCTCTCTATCCTTGTGCAGGGTGACTGGTCTTGTCTTAGCCTTCTCCTGTAGTTTCCCATAGTGGGTGGGTCCTACTGGGCCCCTCCCACAGCTCTGCTCTCTGCACAGGCAATGTGCAGCACACTGTCGCAATGTCGCTGCTGTTTTTCGAAGGTAACATTCAGGCATTTGGCGCACACAAAGTGGATTTATATCCTTTGTGGCATGTGAGGATTATATTTGAATGAACTTTTTCGTTCCTAGAGCTCAGCAATAAGGCGCTGCGTTCTTTCCACAGCTTTTACAAATAAGCTTGACATTGTCCTCCCAAACGCAACGCCAACTGGAACATTTTAATATTCTTTCCAAACTCTCACATAATGAGCGGCGAACGTTCTCCCGTCTCCCATTCATAGGCAGCTCCCTCGGAATGATGACATGTCTGAGATCTACCCAAATGTTTCCCTTCTAACCATTTCTCTTGGTGTCTTCTGCGGAACATGAAGGGAAACTCAGACGTGAGCTGTGGAGAACTCTGCAATCTTATCTCATGTCTTGGGGATTTGGTGTCCTCTGCGTTTGATTATCCGCGAATTATGTCTCACTGTTATTCTTCCCTGTCTGTATAAACAGGAGGGACATTCTAAAAAATAGATACATCACCGGATTCAACATATTCATCATTTTATACGGCTCGGAGAAGTCTGTGACACACCAGCACAATCACCGCTTCTCGTAATAGACAGTGAATAATGAGGACGGAGAATTCAATGTGTCGTTATTCTCCCCAACGCTCTAGAAAAAGGGGAACCGTGTTATGTAGACACAAGTGGTCGATGTGTTCCGATTCAGAGCTGGGAGATGGGCGCTGTTAGTTTTTAGCTCAATGCTCCCTGTGCAAGGTTGCCCTATGCTGGGGAACCCTCCTCATATTTAGCCTTCCTTGTAACCCCAACACTAACCTTCCTTGTAACCCCAACACTAACCTTCCTTGTAACCCCTACACTAACCTTCCTTGTAACCCCAACACTAACCTTCCTTGTAACCCCAACACTAACCTGCCTTGTAACCCCAACACTAACCTTCCTTGTAACCCCAACACTAACCTTCCTTGTTACCCCAACACTAACCTTCCTTGTAACCCCTACACTAACCTTTCCTGTAACCCCAACAATAACCTTCCTTGTAACCCCAACACTAACCTGCTTTGTAGCCCCAACACTAACCTTCCTCCTTACACCAACACTTACCTTCCTCCTTACACCAACACTAACCTTCCTTGTTACCCCAACACTAACCTTCCTTGTTACCCCAACACTATCCTTCCTTGTTATCACAACCCTAACCTTCCTTGTAACCCCAACACTAACCTTCCTCCTTACACCAACACAAACCTTCCTTGTTAACCCAACACTAACCTTCCTTGTTACCCAAACACTAACCTTCCCTGTAACCCCAACACTAACCTTCCTTATAACCCCAACACTAACCTTCCTTGTAACCCCAACACTAACCTGCCTTGTTACCCCAACACTAACCTTCCTCAAGGATCCTATTAGTGATCAGCCCTAAGTATTAGAGGGATTCTTGTGTTGGACATGACCCAATTTGCAATCTCAGTTTCCTGTAATCTTCCGTCCTGTTACCTGCTGTCTGTGCTGCCTCACATTACATCCCTCATAACCTGGGCCATGTCCTGGATTCTGGAACTAAGGTTATGTAAAACAGGGGCCCTCATTAATATGAGTGACAGGAGCCCGTGTGAGCATCCCCTGCTTCTATTGTGAAAATAATTTTTCGGATTGGAGTGGAGATAGATAGATCATGTGCATATGTCCTATCTATCTATCTATCTATCTATCTATCTATCTATCTATCTATCTATCTATCTATCTATCTATCTATCTATCTATCTATCTATCCATCCATCCATCCATCCATCCATCCATCCATCCATCCATCTATCATATTTTACGTTCTGTATTTTTGTCACACGCATAGAATTTATTATCCACCGAATTGACCCTAGGGAGGTGAACTCTGGTTGCTCTGGGTTAGAGGCCTCAGCAGACCACTCTCGCTCTGGTTGCACTGGGTTAGAGCCCTTGACATATTGTTCTCCCTCTGGTTGCTCCTGGTTAGAGTCCCGGCACATCGCTCTCCCTGTGATCGCTCCTGGTTAGAGTCCCGGCACATCGCTCTCCCTGTGATCGCTCCTGGTTAGAGCCCTGGCACATCTCTCTCCATGTGATCGCTTTTGGTTAGAGCCCCGGCACATCGCTCTCCCTGTGATCGCTCCTGGTTAGAGCACCGGCACATCGCTCTTCTTGTGATCGCTCCTGGTTAGAGCCCCGGCACATCGCTCTGTCCTCTGATCGCTCCTGGTTAGAGCCCCGGCACATCGCTCTTCTTGTGATCGCTCCTGGTTAGAGCACCGGCACATAGCTCTCCCTCTGATCGCTCCTGGTTAGAGCCCCGGCACATCGCTCTCCCTCTGATCGCTCCTGGTTAGAGCCCCGGCACATCGCTCTCCCTCTGATCGCTCCTGGTTAGAGCCCCAGCACATCGCTCTCTTTCTGGTTGCTCTGGGTCGGGGGCCCTCAGCACATTGTTCTTCACATGAAGCAGCTTGGATGGATTGTGTGACGGGGATGGCAGCAGACTGGACTGTGGTTTCACAGCTCCACCGTGAGGCTTCGCAAGGCTCCTGTAATCCTATGACCTAAAGATATTTTCTCCGGACAATGCAGAGCGGTCAGCCAGCGATCGTCATTTCCTCCTCTCCTCATAGAACCGTCTGCGCTGCGTAGAATGAACATTAAAACCTGCAAAAAAAAGCGCATAGTTGTGCCCAACAAATGTTCACACTTCTTACACAAACTTCCGCGTAGGGAGTGAAATTCACCTTTTTATAAACAAATGGAATCTGAAACAGAACAAATGTATCTCGGGGATCGTCTCTTTTGTCTCACCTAGGGGACACCTCACCGCGCGGTAATCATGCACGATTCCGCTCGGATTGCCGCATGGTCAGGAGTCGCCAAGGTGTGAACCGATCGTGCTGTGGGTGCCATTATTTTCTAATGGCACCCCAGTTGCGCTGGGCGGATCGCGCAGTTTCCTCTCTCCGCTGCCCCATGGCCGGGTTCCTCATTTGTACGAAGCAGGGCTAAATGTAGAAAAAAAAACTACCCGCCCGACAGCTGTGCAGCTGGCCGGGCCTCGGTGGCCTTGTGGGAAATCCGGCCCTGTGCACATGTGCTGACATGGAGCATGCTGACAAAAGCAGGTAGCACAGTGTTGGCCGCACTGCTTCCTTCACTGTCCATCACAGACAGTGGGTAGGGAGGTGATGAAGCGGTATTGTTTATCTGTTACGTAGAAATGTCAAATCACCGGGCTGGCTGTGCCACTGTATGTGTCAGGGCTGTGTTATTCTCAGGACTGTATGGGCAGAAATACAAATCTGTGGGCAGTTCAAACAGCTCCCTTATGTATAATTTCTCTGTGTATTTAGCTGTTTGTCAGGAATTCAGGTTTCAGGGCTCGTTCACACCATAGCATCCCAAAATCATGGGATCTGTGCATTTATTGCACAGTGCATGCTCGGTTCGTCATGTTGCCATTCATTATGATTAGGGATGCACCGATACCGATACTAGTATCTGTGCCGATACCTAGTATTTGGACGAATACTCGCCCAAATGCTCCAATGCCTAGCCCGATACCCGAACTTCTGGTATCAGGAAGCCAGACAGCAAGTCATTACCTGTCTCCCAGCTTCCTGATTGGCCAGAAAGCCGACTCCATGCTTCCTCATCACCTGGTGATGAGGGAGCATGGAGACGGGCTCCCACCTAATCAGGAAGCCGGGTGGGGAGTCATTACACGCCGCCCGGCTTCCTTACTGGGACTTCCGGTATTGGTATTCGGTATCGGTGAACACTGAAAAGAAATTTGAATGGTACCCCAATGCACCTCCCATGTGTTGCATTGTGGCGAAAAAAAGTAGTGCATGGATTACTTTTTTTTCCCACCGCACTCCTTGTTATTGCAGCACAGCGCCTTGTGCTGCAATGCATGCCGGCCGGGAGGTGCGTTGGGGTGCCATTTAAGTAAATGGCAATGCAGCGCACCAGGGAACCTAGCTTGCATTGCCATGTGCTGTGTGATAACGTGAGCTGAACGCACGGATCCTGTGCATTTAGCGCAATGCTATGGTGTGAATGAGCCCTAAGGCCCGGTTCACACCTGGGCGTTTTGTAGCGCGTTCGTACCCTCTGCAAAACGCTCAAACACCGAAATCCCATTGTTTCCTATGGGTATGGTTCACACCAGGGCGTATTTCAGGCCATATGAACGCTCTACAAAACGGCCAACGCCAAAGAAGTACTGGAGCTTCTTTGGGGTGTATTTGCCGCGCGTATCCATTGGGATACAGCCAGGTAGCCCTCAGAAACGCGCGTTTGTCGCACGTTTTTTTAACCGCAAATCGAATTTTACCGCAAATTTTTAAGCGACAAACGTGCATATTCGATACGCCTAGGTGTGAACCCAGCCTAACTGAACATAGTTTTATTCTTTTATATTGTTACTTTGTGTTCTGTAAACCACATGACTTTTTTTTCGTTCAATGTGTAACTTTTAAAATGATAGGGAAGGTAACAGGTTCACTTTATAGTAAGTTCTTCCCATCTCTGCGCTGCCCCTATGAGCTGGTGAAGCCCCGCCAACCACTACCCCATCATCTAAATCCTAGTCGGCATTCAAGGCCTGCTGCTCCATCTTCAATTGGCAATAGCTACCGTTGTTCCAGAACCAACTCAATTATACTTGTTGATAAATCTTACCGTGTCTATTGGCACTCAGGATAATTTTGTTTTAACCATGTTGGAAGACACTTGCCCACGTGCTCGTCTCTCTGGTACCCCTAGAGAATTCAAGGCCCTTATTGGCCAAAAATCCTCTCCTGGTGTTAACCGTCATATTGGTCTGAGCAGCCTGAGCAACAACTTGGTCTAAGAGGGGGATTTTCCTTCACTTGCTGTTGTGTGTTCAGAACAGGAAGTGAAGAGAAATCTGTCCAATGGGGCACAGGCACAGCAAAACCTCACAGGGATTCTAACCCTTCTCTACCCTATTAAAATAATTTTGGCTGTATCCTTCAAGTTGTTCTACTGTCTGTTAGCATTGCTGCCAATGATACCAGTGATGGGAGTTATTATTGCAGAATGATGGGAGTTATTATTGCAGAATGATGGGAGTTATTATTGCAGCCACAACTTCAATGGTTGGTGGTTTATTATCGATGCCACGGACACCATTAAAAAAGAAGGTGGGTGGGTTTATTTTTGCTTCTACTGATACCAGTGATGGGGGTTCATTATTTCTGCCTCTGCTCTGTGCAGAACACCACCTCCCAGGATTGTCTATGGACTGTGGCACTGCATGGAGTCAGTACGTAGGTGGATGGAGGGGCCTCTGAGGATGGAGCTTCCTGGAATCAGGTTATCCCTGTTGTTTGCATAATTTTCTGTTTTTGTTTAAGATACATGTGACCATCATCTGATATTTTTTAATTGGAAATTGTAAAAAAAGAAAAGCCCTCAACTCCACTGGTAGATACAAGCAGCGCCCTTGAACCCTTTTAATCTTGAAGCCCCTATTCTACAAGATCGCTATCAAAGCAAATTATATTTCCCATTCACTGCAATACTTACCTTTAACATGGAGATTGCCCCCATGCAGTACTATTTTCTACCACTAGATGTCCTCAGTCTTCTAGGATAATTGACACCCAGCATAATTTAGCCTGGACATCCTCTACAGGGCGTCATGGGCCCATGGTCTCCACATGCCCTACATTCTCAGTGTGGGGCCCCCATTTACACTTGTGTAGCACGTGAACATATGCAAATTCCTGCCATTTTGGCCGCATTTTTAAAAAGCACATGTTTCATCTTCAATGCCATTCATTGTCAATGGCACTCCAACCAAGACATGTGCAAAAAAGTGCATTTAAAACAACGTGCTGAGCTCAAAGCCGGTGAAGGTTCATGAGCTCCTTTGCCATGTTTGTCATGAGTAGGGCAGCCTATTAAAATGAACCTTTACGCTGTATGCCTGAAGACCTGTATATACATCTGTGTGCATGAGCCCTGACAATGACACTGTCCAGTTCAGCCACCAGTCAACCAATGACGCAGTGTGGCTCAGCCACCAGTCAACCAATGACACTGTTCGGCTCAGCCACCAGTCAACCAATGACTCTATGCAGCTCAGCCACCAGTCAACCAATGACACTGTCCAGCTTAGCCACCAGTCAACCAATAACACTGTGCAGCTCAGCCACCAGTCAACCAACAACTCTGTGCAGCTCAGCCACTAATCAACCAACCAATGATGCTGTTTGGCTCAGCCACCAGTCAACCAATGACCATGCAGCTCAGCCACCAGTCAACCAATGACACTGTCCAGCTCAGCCACCAGTCAACCAATAACACTGTGCAGCTCAGCCACTAGTCAACCAACCAACACACTGGACGGTGTGGCTATGTCACCGGTCAACCAATGACTTTGTGCGGCTCAGCCACCAGTCAACCAATAAAGCTGTGTGGCTCAGCCACCGGTCAACCAATGACACTATCTAGCTTAGTCACCAGCCAACCAATGCAACCAATGACTCTATGAGGCTTAACTCCCAGTTAACTAATGACACTATCCAGGCCGCACGGCTTCATTGTTAGCTAGGACACAGGCGGAGGTCAGGCGGGCAAACCGGCCCAATCCTCTGCCTGTTTGGCAAATTGTGAACATCTTGAGTTTGGGCTGAACTCGTGGTTGACCCGAACCCAAATGTCATTCCTAATTGAAATAATAATATGTTATTATCATACTCTGTTATTGTTTGACATTCAGCCATGTCATTGCCTGTTTGTTGCTTGGTTACACTATTAAAAAAAACATACAAACATGAAATTGGCATTTGCGTCGTCTTGTTTTATCAGCCGATTACTCGCCATCATTGCTTTTCTGGTTTAACTGTAATTATTAGCTCTTCTATTATCTTCTTTATTACCATGAGTGCTGCATTATTGATTATGTTACAAAAGATACAAGGCAGGAATTCAATATTTCATGTCCTGTAGTGATCCTCCGACGTGTAATGCTTTAAGTACAGAGAGCATTCAACGGATATGACCGAGGAAGGTTCATCGGAGTGCAAACATTTTATCCGTCCTTTACGACCATCAGCCATACACTTATACACTACACTATAAACAACCTCAAAGATAATAAATAACCCAGAAGCCACAATTTACATCATTCTAGGTTATTGAAGCTGAACTCCGTCCTTCCCTTCAACCTTGTACCGACTCCTCTCCTGGACTGAAATGGCCTCCTCTGATTTGAGCTTCTCACAATGTGCATTAGAAGCTGCAGCAAGTCAGATAGAGCCCGCCTAATTTCCTGGATGGAGGACCTCCCCATCCTGAATGTCCTTGGTTCTCTGCTCTTTCAATCATGGAGGCTCAGCATCACATTTGGACGTTACCTCGGATTGAAAATACTAAGGATGCACCGATACCGGTTTTTCGGTATCGAGTACGAGTACCGATATTTTGCTTTCGGTACTACCTGATACCAAGTACTGATACTGTTGCTCCTGCTGGCATAGAGCCAGCTGCCCGAGCAATCAGGAAGCTGGGTGGCAAGTAATGACATGCCACCCGGCTTCCTGATTGCCCCGAGAAGTCGGCTCCATGTTGTTTGGCCGGCTTGTTTGTGATTGGCCAGGAAACCGGCTTCCCAGCCAATCAAGAAGCCGAGCGGGCAGTCATGACCCACCTACCTCCATTGTAATTGGCTGGAAAGCTGGCTTCACTGCCAACCAGCATCAAGCCACCTGTTCAGCCGGCTCGATGCTGATTTGCAAGGAGCCGGCTGTTTGGCCAGTTTGATGCTGATCAGCGTGGAAGCTGGCTTCCCGGCCAAACAGCAGTGAACCTGGCTTCCTGGCCAATCAGGAAGCAAGGAGGCGGGTCATTACTTGCCACCAGCGTCCTGATTCCACGGGAAGCTGGCTCTATGTTCCCCTACGGCACTGCCGGTAAGAGGAAATCTTCCTCTGACCGGAAGTTCTGGTATCGGGGAAGGTATCAGAGCATTTGGGTGAGTACGAGTACCCACCCTAATACTCGGTATAGGCACCGAGACTAGTATCGGTATTGGTGCATCCCTAGTAAATGCATCCTGTCTAGGAACACCCACTTCCACAGATTGACACCCACCCATTAAGGAATTTTGATATATGCATAACTCCTCCCAAGAGCCAACCCACTGCTTCCATCTAGGCTGAGGGCTCTTCAGAGGAGTACTAATGAAGGGTGCTGTGATGTTTTCAGGAAGCTATGTACAGCACCCTGCCAGCAACTCCTTCCAGGAACACCTGAACTTTCCCGGTGGACAGAACATGATATGGGAATTATGGCTTGGAGATCTCACTTTTGGAGTATTCAAAACATATCAGGAACCAGGGCCCACCAGGCTCCTCTTATAAATAAAATGTCACTGTTATGTAAACTGTTACGAAAATGTGCCGAAACTAACGAAAATATGTATTTCGTCCGAATCCGAATCCGAATTGAGTTCAGTTACGAATTACGAAATACGAAATAACGGATATTCCGAAACGAAACGAAACAGAACAAATTTTTTGATGGCGCACAAGTCTAATGTAAACAGACTTTTTTGGGTGAATACATAACTGGTGTTGGTTTAATATGTGCCAGGTGTTCCGCAGTGAAGGGCCTGTCGATATTCTTTGATGGGCTTCATCCCGGGTGAGCACATTAAACAGAAGAAGGGAGAGAGAGATGACATACATTAAATGTCATGTACAATGTTTTCCATTACCTCATGGTAAATTCATCTCTTCCAAACCTGCTTTGCTAATGAAGCTCTCTCGGAGAGATCTATTTTCCCCACAATTAGGACTGACATTAGTAAAGCAGATATGGCAAATAAAATTACACATCATAAAACTGTCTCGGTGAACTTCCCGAGCTGATCGCTTTAGCTCCACTCAATAAAACGTCTGGAGTTCCCGAACCCCTGAATGATGGACGGGTTCATTATTTTGACTCCATTTCACTCTGTACATAAAAACTCAAAACATAAATCACATCAAACATACATGTCCACGGGCATCTCATGAATATTTACAGTTAAAGGGCGACTGTGGGAAGCACTCAGGGCGAGTGCTGTTCTTTAATTGAAATATAGACGAGAAGAAATGGAGATTGAACAAAGCTTGAGATGGGGGCAGTGGTGTATTTTGCTTTTGTGCTGACCTAGGCAAGACTCAACTCGGGCACCCCCCTCAATTTCAGGGGGTTTCAGGAGGACTGTGCAGAGTACCTGCATGAGCTACATGAGCTGCTCCTTTTACCTGCAGCCCGAAGTGCCATCAGTACCAACAGGATAGATTGCAGCCCCCAGCCTGCTTCTGGGACATCCCACCATCAGATCACTTGCTATGGCCAGCTCCAAGCCACCCACTGCTTCTCCTCCTCTTGTACAAAGCAAGCCAAACCGCATCTCAATGGGCCCACCCCTCCACTGGGCAGCTCTCTAATTAGGAGCAGCCGCCTAGTTTGCCTCATTAGGAAGCCGCCGCTGCCTGATTCTTTGCCGCCCAGCCTCGGCCCACGCGGCAAGTGCCCAGTGTAGTCCGGCCCTGTCCGCCTCATTGGTTTGGGGCGGCGTTTCCTGCCGCCCCCCTGGAAAGGGACGCCCTAGGCAAATGCTTAGTTTGCCTTGCGGTAGATACACCCCTGGATGGGGGAGAATCGTTCTGAAGAAGCTGGTACGTTCCTTTAAGGCACAGAGAACCAAACAATGGTGGCTTTACATGACTTAACCCTAAACCTTCTTCACACGCAGACCATAAGAATGAATGGTTAATCCACCCAACAGAAATATTTTAGTTATAGTTTGAGCCTGGTGGATTGAGTCAAGCTCTCACTTCCTATATGTCTTGGATACTCCAACTATCCTTCATCCACCTGTGAAGTCTGGGTGATCAGAGATGATTGGAATCCCTCATAATGGGCACAGTAGATGTACAGACCTGAGAACTCAGCATAGGGTTGGTGCAAGCCCCTCATAATGGGCACAGCAGGTGTACAGACCTGAGAACTGTGCCCATATTGAGAAACCCCTCAGTATGGGCGCAGAAGGTGTGCAGACCCAGAAATTCATCACAAGGGTGGTGGGAACCCCCTCATAATGAGCACAACAGGTGTAAAGACCCGGGAATTTGCCACAGAGATGGCAGGAGGCCCTAATAATGCAACCAGCAGGTTTACAGACCCAAGGACTCAGTGCAGGGAAAGTGGGAGCCCCTCATGAAGGGCAGAACAGGCGTTTAGACCCAGAAACTCAGTGCAGGGATGGTGGGAGCCCCTCATAATGGGCACAGTAGGTGTACAGTCCTTGGAGCTCAGCATAGGGAGGTTAGGAGCCCCTCGTAATGGACACAGCAGAACCCAGAAAAGGGAGGTGGTAGCCCCTTATTATGAGCAGCTATTAATATTCAACTGGGATTGAATATTGTTAAATATGCTCCATAGCTTATACAATCTGTTTCTTCTGTTCCACTGAGTGCCAGGAAGATGCCCCAACATGTAGATCCACACAGGTAGCACAGCCACCTTAATCCAATCACCATGGAAAGGCAGCTGTTGATTACGCAAAGGATAGAGGTGTGAAAGATGTGGAACCATCCTTTTCTAGACAGTCAAGATATGCCTTCACACGTTCCATGGTGATTGGATAAAGGTGACTGTGATACCTGTGTGGATATAAATGTTGGGGTATCTTCCTGACACTCATCAGAACTGAAGAAGTGGCTCGGAGAAGCTACAACATGTCTTCAAGGGTACAGAACAAGTCCAGCTGAATGTGACCAACTACTACTAGCTATCCCATGACCTGGATAAATGAAAGCCTTCACAGACATGTCAAAGCAGATATTGATGGTCCAAGAACAGGATGAGATGTGTGAAAGGTGTGGAACTGCCCTGTTCTAGTCACATTATTCAAACCTTTGGTGTCCTAGGTCAATCATGATCTACCTGGACACATTCCATGGCTATTCGATTGAGGTGGCTGTGCTACCTGTGTGGATAAAAATACTGAAGTATGTTCCAGACACTCATTAGAACTGAAGAAGTGGCTTGGAGAAGCTACAAAACAGCTTCAATATTACAAAACAAATCCACTTGAATGTCACCGAATACTACTAGCTACACCATGAACTGGATCAATGAGAACCTTCACAGACAAGGTAAATATTTCAAGTTATTCTTTAGGTGGACTTACTTAAAGTCCACCTAAAACTGCATGTCCATCTAAGAATACCCTGTCTACAGGGTGACAACTCTACTGTGGTTTCGCTACATAAAATGTATAATTTGTCATACATAGCAATTGTTTTAGCACATTTAAAGACCTACCTCCATTCTTCTTTAGCTTATTTGTTTGAGTGTTCAGGGTGTGGTGCAGAGGCATAACTAGAAATCAGAGGGCCCCATAGCAACATTTTGTATGGGGCCCTGTGATTTCTAGTTACGCCCCTTGCAGAGCCCACCTGAGATCCCAAACAGCCCACCCAAAAGTGACCCTGCAGAGCCCGCCATAGACTCTCTATGGTAGCTCAGCAGGGTCTCAGGTGGGCTGGTCACACCCCTGCACACCTCTTACCTGTCAGCCCCGATCCGCTGTCAGCCTCCTCCACCGCCGAGCCCCGCCTCCTCCTCTATGGTCGCTGGTTGGCCCCACCTCCTCCTCCATCACCGGGCCCCGCCTCCTCTTCCGCTGCAGACACTGGGCCCCGCCTCCTCCACTGCTGCAGACGCCAGGCCCAGCCTCCTCCTCTGCAGCAGCTGGCTGTCACTAACTGACAGGTTGTCATTGATCTGAGCAGCGGCACGTTCCTCCTCAGAGCCGCCAGTGAGAGCCAGCAGTCTGCAATGCCATAGCGACCCAGGCGGCCCTCACAGCATCAGGGGAACCCCTTTGTTTCTCATCCTTGCCGAGCTCCCCTGTGCCCTGAGCTCGGAGTGGCCGCCTGGGTCGCTATGGCAATAGTTCCACCACTGCTGTGGTGCATGCTTTCTAGGTCTGTGGCTCTTACTTGGTGTATTCACTGTAGAATGAACAGTGTTGTTACACTGTTAAAGGAAGTGGATAAATAACACATATACTGGCAGGTAACATAGTAACATAGTATTTGAGGTTGAATAAAGACATAAGTCCATCAAGTCCAACCTGTTGTGTGCATGTATATGGTTCTACTGATGTGTGCGTATGTATAGGTCCCTGTGTGATCACATTTTTAATAGTTCCTGTACCCCTTTATATTACGGTCCATAAGGAAATCATCCAAAAGCTTCTTGAACGATTCCACACTCTTAAGATGCCCATACACCTTACTATTATCTGCAGATTTTCTGTGGTCAGATGGAAAAAGTGCAACAGATTGGCCCAGTGGGAGATTACTCCATCCACACAGTTAAGTGCAGATGGAGGAATCTGTTGCACCTTTTCCATCTGACCAAAGAAAATCTGCAGATAATTGTAAGGTGTATGGCAGCTTTAGCTGAGATCACTGCCTATGGCAACAAGTTCCAGACACTAACCGCTCTAACTGAGAAGAACCCCCTTCTCCCCTTGTGCTGACATTTTTTTCCCACCAGTTTTAGGTGGTGGCCTCTAGTCTTTGTTATGGAGTTAATCGTAAAGAGTTTGTTGCTAATGTTGCTATTGCCGTTAAACATCTTGTACATGAGAATCATATCCCCCTTAATCTCCTACTTCCAACGAGAACATATTTAAATGTAGTAGCCTCTTCTCATTGCTCTGGTCCTCAATCCCCTTATTGAGCTTGGTTGCCCTTCTCTAGTTTATTAGGTAATAGGGAACTGCTGTGTTAATGCTGGTAACAGACTCCATTATGGATGTCATTTTTTATTGTGCCCACTTTATTAAATGGTCCACTTTTTGATGCACTGAACTGACCTGTTGCTGGGGTTATTGATACATGTATATACACTGAGTGGCCAGTTTATTATGACCACCTGATGTTTGTAGGCAAATTAGCTATAATTTTGCGCTGAAGATAGAGGGCCAGACCATTATAAATAGGGAAGCAGGTTGTTTACCACGACAGTAGAAGTGATTTGTTTCTGAAGATACGGGGAAACAACGCGATGTAACAGCCTTTGAGCGGGGGATGATTGTTGGCGCTCGGAGCCATGGGGCGAGTATCAGCAAAACAGCAGAATTCGTTAAATGTTCAAGAGCAGCTGTTGTTAAAGTGTTTAAAGACCGGACTGTCAGCCAAAAATCTGGGTCTGAACGTGCGAATTGTGGCCGTCAGCGACTAGTCAATGTTAGGGCAGAACGGAGAGTGGCAAGACTGGTACAAGACAACAGAAGGGCAACAGTGCAGCGTCAGATTCCTCGCATCACCTTTCATCATCTCGTGGAGTCATCTCGTGGCCCAAAGAAGTACTGATGGGGTGGTCATAATAATCTGGTCACTCAGTGTATATTATATGCTTCATGGGGTTCTTGCAAACCCCAGGGATAAGAGGTCAGACTGTCAGTGTGCGGTGAAGGTCAGGAGCCAATGTGCCAATCCATGCCCCAAATCCATCCTGTAATCTTGTATTCCGTACCTGACCGCTGCTATTCTGGCCGTGTTAAAAGCAAGTAATTGTAAAGGGTGAAAATGCATTGACGATGTAAGTGTCAGCTCCCCCGGGAGGACGGCGCTTGCAGAGGATTATGGGTGCAATGCAGACAGCAGAGGCATGCAATTCTTAGGTACACAAAGCTTCATGCGTCTTTCCCTAACAGAGTCAGTTTGAGAAGACGGACAGCTTTGTTCTGAGTAACCTACAGTAACCAATCAGGCATTGTTCTCACCGCTCTCTGTAATGTGATTGGTTCCCATGGGTGACCGCACTCTCGTCTTTTGCTTTTGCTATACAAATCCAAATATAGCTCTTTTGTCAAATCCTTCAAGCAGACATTGCATTACAATTCTGGGTCCGCTTTGCTGACAGCCTCCCCAAATAAAAGAATGCTTGAAGCAGAGCTCCAGGCAGATGAAATACTTATATAAGAGCTGTGCATTTCTGTCCATCCAGTTCGGACATTTACACAGCTCTGCCCTGCAGCACAGTTTGATTTTAGTCTGCTGCAGCTTATCAACACCTACAGGTCTTGCCTCTCACCCAGCTTGTGATCGGACAGTGAAAGGAGAAGCGTCAGACTGATGAGTTCATGGATTGAGCCTCCATGATTGAAAGAAAGAACTGAAATCTAAAGAATGAAAGGGGTAGGTCAGTGACAGTCAGGCTGAAGAGGAAACGAGTTGGATGATGCTGGCCAGAGTTCAGCTGAAAGAGATGATTTCACTTACTTCCTGTTGTGTCTCCCAGACAGAAAGTAAAGGGAAATCTCCCCAATGGGACAGAGAAGAAAAAAAAAAAACTTACATTCCCCTATCTATTAAAAAAGG